CAGTTTGATGGAAGTATTTCAGATTGCATGTGAAAACCCCACACTGTACCCCAGAAGTGCATTAATGTACATAGTTACCATTCAATAAAAATAAATAAATAAATAAAAAATAAAATATCAAAAGAATTGAATTCATTCTTTTTATCCAATTCTTAGTATGTATAAATTACAATTGCCCAGAATTTTCCCAAAGAAACATTTCATCGGCAACTGTTACCCTTTAAAGTCTATTTTAGAGAATACAGACTTTTAAATGCTTAACAGTTTTCAATATTTTTCAACATAATGAGCCTATCTTTTCCATTTTTTTTTTTTTTGTATTATGCTAAGCCTACAGTGAAGTGGCTAGGAAAGACCATTTATATCTTTGTGTTTGTTTATTAAACTGATGACAATCTGGCATGCCCAGCTGGTGGTCTACCATGAACCATAAGGTCTTTTCATTTGTTGTGCTAGGCTGGGCACAGTGGATAAAGCCTATAATCCTAGCATTTTGGGAGGCCAAGGTAGGAGGATTGCTGGCAGCTAGGAGGTTAAGACCAGCCTGAGTAATAGGCTGTCTCTAAAAAAATATAATTAGCTGGACCTGGTGGTACATGCCTATAGTCCAAGCTAGTTGGGATTCTGAGGGAGGAGGATCACTTGAGCTCAGGAGTTTGAGACTGCCATGACCTAATGATGATGCCCCTACACTAGACCCAGGCAACACAGCAAGAACTTGTCTCAAAAATGAATGAATGAAAATAATAAAAATCTTCTTTCCTCTACACATCCTTTATACCATATATTTAAAATCCTAAATATCTTACCAAAAAGCAGTCTCATTTGTAGGATATTTCCATTGTGTCAAAATAATTCAAAATTCTATTTCTGCATTTCATCATATTAGACAATCTAAGTAGGGACCTTCCACAAAGGTAAGGAATATCATACTTAGATTATGGAGGATACTTCCAATTGATTCACTTCAATGATCAGAAAATGTAATAAACCAGAATCTAAGGACAAGGACATTAAGTATTCAATCTAGACATAAGTTCAGAAGAATGAGTATAATCGTTTTATATTATTGAACCATATGAAATTGCTGTACCTTAAAATAAATTGAAAATCAACAGTTTTATATAGTTTAACCTCACAATAAGAAAACACATTCTGTGAAATTTACTCAGTTATATATGGCAAAAACCTACATTTCCTAGTCATTCCACAAAGTCAAAATTCCAAAAATAAAAAAGGAGAATCCCTAAGGAGCTAAATTATGGCTTCAAAATACTAATCCACATCCTAAAGATCCTAAAGTTTATTAAAATACTAATCAAGAAACTATATCTTAACCTACGTACAAAGTTACTTTATAATCAGTATAATAAAGTCAGTTTTCAAATTCTTTGGTTTGGCCTCTTATTCCCAAACCTTTTTCATCTCCATTATTCCCACTGCACTGCCACTGCCTCAGTCATCATCTTAATACTGATGAATAAATAATCTCACTGCTAATCTCCCTACATCATTTTTGTCCTCCACTGATGATAAATCTAGATGGTAGATGGTAGCCTACACACATTTCCTCATTCAAAATGATTTATTTTTCATCACCAACAGAAAAAAAAATCTAAATTCATTAGCAATGTATGTACCTTCTAAATTTGGCCACTCTCTCTCTTGGGTCTATTATCATACAGTCTTCTTATGCCCGCTTTTTGCTAAAACAAACCTTTTCCTTTACTTCTTGCAAAACATCTGTTCCACCCACTATTTGTACTATCTTTACTATAGCAACAACAATTTAGTTACTCTTGGTGAGTCCTCAGACCATTTTCTATACCCTTTTTATCAGCTTCCTTCAGTATTCACAATATTTATTTATTCCCTTTTTAAATGTAAGATTTACTATATTTAAGCAAATATTCAGAGAATAGAAATTATTCTTGGATGAACAAATATATGCCATTAAAATCTAATAATATTAAAATTATAATCATACCTTATTCCATTTCTTTGATCAAATGCTGGTATCATTGAGGCTGGGTGTTCTGACATTAAAGCCACTAGTAACTGTAACACATCATGAATATTTTCATCCTGTATGAAAAGTATTATCAATATTTATCTAGTTAAAATAGTCTAAAGCTTGGAATCAAATAATTAAGACATAAGATGTATAACATATCCTACCTCATGCATTGTAAGTAGGTAATTTAATATACTCTGAAGTTCATCTTCTTTGACACCTCGATCCTAGTTTTCAAAAAAAATTTCATTACTTACTTTAAATCTAAAATAAAAACTTTAATTACAGGTATTAAAATAATCATTTTAAAAGAATATAACAACTCAGAAAAAACTTTAAAATAGTGATGTTTTAATATTCCCACATACTTCACTATTTATAGACAATTGTTTCAAGTTAATAAGTAAAACTTAGAAAATTATATCAAGTTTTTGAAGTCACTCATATTTGCATTTGTGAATTATGCTACAATAAACATTCTGGTACAGGTGTCTTTTCAAAAAAAGTTACTCATCTTTGACATTCACTGTCAAAAGTTAGTATTTTTGGTCATCTAACTGTACTCATATTACTGTTTTCTTATCATTTACTCCTTCCTGAATATAATATGCCTACGAGACTTTACAGTATCAATTTTTGTTTATCTCACAATTTATACTTATTGTCCCTTTGTCTTCATCTTAATCTTTAATAAATTCTACTGCAATAAAATATATAAGACTTCTTAGATTGGAAAACACATCACTTTCTAGAATAAAACCTTTATGCTCAATTCTTATTCATATATTTCTTGTCCATTTTTGTCACATCCCTTAACATGAAAGATTTCAAAGAGCATTTAACTGAAAGTTAACTACACCTTAGCTCCTATTAATATTTATAAAATTTTAAAAGCAATTCATAAATTAAAAGTAATTATTGCTGATTTAACAATAATGATTTTAAAATGCCAAATGTTCCGTTTCATCTATAATATATTGCAGTACTGAATTATATAAGATAATTTTACCTTTAGTATGAGCTGTTTCAGAAAAAGTAACATAAATGCCCGTAGTGATATAATTTCTTTTTGTGATGGCCGGGGACCATCTAAAATAAAATAGAAAAAGAAAAAAAAATCATGATATTAAATACCCTTAATGCAATTATATTGGTATATTATAGGATTCTTTAATAATAATATTTATTTAAATTATAATATTTGTTAGTATTAATGTTATACAGTTTCAATAATATCACAGTGTCCAAAAATTAATTTTTAGTTTTTTGGCAATTTCAATCTATTCAATAAGTGTCAGATCTGGGGGGAAGAAGAAATTTTTTAATTAGAAATTAGAGAAGAAATTTTAAAAATTAAAAATATTTTACTACCCATGGATAAATGTATAATCATATTTCTATTAATACTTTTTCCTATTGGTATTAACTTAATAGGTTTTCTAATATTTCTTTCATCCACAGTCAAACTTGTCTTTATCTGAAGACTCTCTCCATTTTCATCCCACTCATTATACAACAAAGCATAGAATTATGTGTTCGGAGATTTATTTTCATCTCTTTTTCCCAAACTGCTCTCCAGACTTTTTTGCCTCACCCACCAATATCCTTCCCTCCTTACCAAAAGTTGCCATTATATTTTTAAAACTTGCTATTATGTGAAAGATAGCACATATAGAGAAAGCATAATATACAACTTAAAGAATTGTTATAAAAGGAACACCTGTAAAAACACGTTTTTAGATTAAGAAACTGAACACTGAGAGTGGCCTGGCAGGGAAACCCATCAACTACCAGTGGTCTGGTAAAGGGTGCATCATTAGGGTGGTGGGAGGAGGTCTTCATTCATCTAGCCTTCATCTCAGGCTACCAATGGTTTAACAACCAGCTCATCAAATTACTGAAGACCTAACAACTGGTCATGGCACCAGTCCACCCAGAGGCTAAAGCTCTCACCCTCCTTCAATGCTCAGCTCTGGGCCACATTTCTCCTTCTCATGACATGTCCAGGTGAAGACAGACATTATACAGCGTGGCCATCAAGTTCATGTGCAAAGGCCACCCTACATTAGTAATAATTTCCTTACTTTGTTAATTTTTTGCCACCACTTAATAAAATTGGACAAGTTTTGTAGGTTTCTATTTCTTTATCATTAGCATAAGGATAATAATAATGCTTGTCCTGGAAATTTTGTGAGGATTAAATAGATCAACATATGTAAAATAATTAGAAAAGTACCTAGATCATTTTAGTTATAAGCATTCAGTAAATGTTAGCAATACTTACTATTGGCATATTTACACAATGTAAGAAGAATATTGCAAAAAAATTTAAGTTTGATTTATGTGTATATGATATAAATCTATTTTGTGAAATAAAAAACAAATACATCTAAATAATATTAAATTGAGTGAAAAAACAAATTATGACAAGTTATACCATTTATGTAAAATATGGAAGACAATTATTTGTGAATATACAAATAGCAAAATATAGGAAAGTAAAGTAGAAACTAATATACATCCAATTAAAGAAATAATAAACATAAAATTTAAGATAGATTATTTCATGGAAGGGAAATGGAAAGAAGATGTGAGCATGGATGTGTACTTACAGTCTCATTGGTAATATTCTATTTAAGCTTGGTGATGTTTACATGAGGTTGATTTTATATTTATCTTCATATTATAAATATTTATATGTAATCATACTACTTTGTATCTATGACACATTCAAAATAAATCTTTGAAACAGCTATAATTTGAAGCACCTATGTGTACACATGTATAAGCTCATGTTTATATGAGTAAAAGAGGTAAAAAGATATCTAAGACTGGTAACACCTGCTAGTTGGGGGAACATTAACTTTTTACTCAGAAACCTTTAAATTATTTTAGTTGGTACCATGAACATGTATTACCTATACTACATAGTATATTTTTAATATATTTAGTGTTTTTATAGTGAACCACAGAATATAACAATTTAAGAGACAAAGTGTTAAGTCATAGTCAAAGCAAAATGATCCTGCTTCTCAAGTGTGTGTTTATAAAGGAAAAATAGGTCTATGACAGCGAGTGTAGTGCAATTAACTTAAGAGTGGCCTTAAAAGAAACCCTTTTAGCTCAAAATAGTATTGAAAAACTATGTACTTTAAATCATAAACTCACATTCCACTAAATAACAAAATTAATTTCAAAAGATTAAAATGTTAAAGTAAAAAAAAAATAAAGCCATTTAAAAAAACAAACGTTCTTCCAACTTTCTTGTCACTTTTCTTTTTATTTATTGGTTCTCTTTCCGCCCTGTCCTTGGAGTAGCCTGAGTACATAAAGCTTCAGGTACCAGGGTACTGAGGGGACAGCAGAAGCCCGGAGACACTGAGGTTGACAGAGCCAAAAAGGCAACGAAGTCTCTCAGTCTCTCAGTTTACATACACATACATATAAACATATTTACTCTATCTGTCCAACAAGAGTACCTAGGTATTGACCTCCAAGGACTAAGAAGTGCACCTAAAACTCAGATCTTGGTTTCTAAAAAACATTTTCACCAAGCAAACCAGGGATCCTTGGAAAACTGGCCAAAACCAGGGCTAAACAAAGAAAGTCTAAGATGAACCAAGAACAACTTGTGGGAGAAGATAAGAAAATATTAACAAATTATAGGCATTTGTCATAAAGGCTCAAGAATCTATGTGAAGGGTTCCACTGGCCAAATCCTGAGCTTCAAAAAGAATAACGACACAACTCAGTATAGACAAACATAGCCTCTGGGCGAAATCCATAATTTCACCAGGCTTTGCCAGTTCTATTGGCACAAGCCATCTCCATTAATTCACACACCATCGGTGGATACTCTGGCAATGCAATGCAGAGTCGACCACTTGTGGCAGAGGCTTCCTCAGCCTGACATACTTACTTATTGGTCCTTTGCAAAGAAAGCATGCCAATTCTCAATAGACTACATTGAATCCACAAGTTTACACTTAATATTTAGAAAGTAAAAAATAAATAAATAAATGGAGGAGTAAAACAAGTTCTCCTTAAGTCAAATGCCAAATAATAAATGCTTAGAAAGCACTGTCATTGGCAGCTATCACAAAAAAGATTAGTTCTAGCAGGAGTCATCAATAACTAAAGATTAGTTCTAGCAGGAGTCATCAATAAACTAAAATAAGTGAAATGTAGCGGAAGAACAGAATATTTGCACACTCTCAAAAAATACTTGTAAATTATCATTCTTTAATAAAGAAATCTGAAAGACAACACCCTAATCAAATGTTCAAATTTAATTAGAAAGAACGATTCAAAGTCATGTATCTCCTTACATGTATCTCCCTTACAATGAGACAGAAATAGGATGGCTTCTCCGTTAGTCCTTGCAAAGATGAAAAAAGAGAAACATCACGAGCAAATACCTAACAAATTCAAATACAGAAGCAGTCTAAAAAAGTAATTTGTCTGTATCCTTCAAAGACTTCAAGGTCTAAAAGATAAGGAAATAGTAAAACAAAACCTGTTCTATATTGAAGAACATTAAAATGACAAAGCAATAAAGCAAAACACATGACCTGCACTGACAGTCAATGTAAATATTTTTTTCTTCTGTATTTTTTCTCTAAGTATGTATTTTTGCATAATTATAGAAACTGGCTATATTCTTAAAATAAGAAAGAAAATATGGCATAGGATTAAATTAGTTTTTACTATACTCAGAACAAAGGGTAAATGTGAAATAAAAATGAAAAGAATGGTTAACAATCTAAAAATGTTAACAACTAACAATAGAACACACTGGTCATAACTAATATCATTCATCTGTTTTTAGTATTATGAAGGCATCTTCCAGAATTAAAAAAGTATAAAGACTGAAATAAAGATGACAGTTTATTTCATTTATTATTCCAAAATAATTTAATCATGAAAAGCTCTAAATTTCTTTACTACAAACAATTACCAATTACCAGTCTACTACAGAAGAAAGAGAACAACAGTTAAGGGACAATCTCACAATCATGCACATCTGTTCATCAGACTCATTGTGGGCAAGCGTAATAGAGTGATAGTGCTGTACTTACCTAATCCTTTAGGCGTGATGCCACTACTGTCAGCAGGATTAATTACCCAGTAGTAATATTTTAACGTGTGCATGAGCTGTAACACTGTTCCTACTCTGCGTATGGTGGTGTAGATGGTAGCAGTTCCGATAAATTCGGCAGACAAATAAGTATAGAGGGAAAGTTGAACCTAAAGCAGAATATTAACACATCATCAAAATAAATCTAAAATGTCTCAACTGCTAACATTACAAATATAAATTCAATTTTAATTTAAATAGGAATTAATAAAAGCTAAGAAATGACCATTTGTTATGGGGTTAAAAATAAGTTTTTCTAAAATATTATTTATATTTTCAAAAGAAAATAACTTACAATTAAAATATTCTAATAAAACTTACTATAATAAAGATAAACTCACAGCCTTTGACAATTAAATAATTAAAAATAATTCAGTTATTTAACTGAAACCAACCTGATAAGATCAAAATATTTTAAAAACCACCTAGAATAAAAGTCCTTAGTCAAAGTAAACTTCGGTAGTTTTCAGTGTGTGTACATACTTCTTCATAGCAGAAGAACTAACATGAGTTAGCTACAGCTAATTTGAAAAAAATACAGTCTATAGTTGGCTTTCAGAGTCTGACCACATAAGCATACAGATGGAGAGTCGAACCTGTTTAAAACAGTGAGCTCACTTTAGACTCAGGTCTAGCCAATTATCAATAAAATGAACCATAATAAAAATCAGAACTTAAATATTATCTAACAAACCAGTACAGTATCTTTGTTAAAACTATAAATGATAGTTCAAAATCAAAATGCCAAGGTAGGAGGATTCTCTTGAGGTCAGGAGATTGAGACCAGCTTGGGAAACATAGCAAGCCCAGTCTCTGCAAAAAAAGTAAAATGTTTAAATGAGTCCAGCATGGTGATATGTGCCTATAGTCTCAGGTACTCTGAAAGCTGAGGCAGGAGGATTACTTAAGCCCAGGAGTTTGAGGCAGGAGATTACTTGAGCCCAGGAGTTTGAGCTATGATCACACCACTACACTTCAGACCAGACAACAGAGGGAGACTTCATCTCTTAAAAATAAATGAACAAATGAATAAATAAAAATATCCCCCATTATTTTTTCTAGTAAGATATAATAGGGCTACATTCAGGTTGGAGACAAAGTAAGAATTTTAAATAATAACTAGTAAAATACTTTATGTATATATACATTTATTTTAAAACCAAAAGTTGTTTACAAGTAAGCATTTAAATTCTCTCTTTAAAATAAAAGTAATTTTCCAATCAAAATTATCACACTGGTCATGACAATTACTTATCTGTTCTTTTTGAGACAGAGCCTCAAGCTGTCCCCCCCGGGTAGAGTGCTGTGACATCACAGCTCACAGCAATTTCCAACTCCTAGGCTCAAGTGAGTCTCCTGCCTCAGCCTCCCAAGTAGCTGGGACTACAGGCACCTGCCACAACGCCTGGCTATTTTTTGGTTACAGCCATCATTGTTGTTTGGCGAGCCCGGGCTGGATTCAAACCCGCCACCTTAGGTGTATGTGGCTGGCGCCTGTTCTTTTTCCTACTCTTTCATTATTATTAGAGACAGAGTCTCACTCCATCGCCCTTGGTAGAGTGCTGTTGCCTCACAGCTCACAGCAACCTCCAGCTCTTGGGCTTAAGAGATTCTCTTGCCTCAGCCAACCAAGTAGATAGGACTACAGGGGCCTGCCACAATGCCCAGCTATTCCTAGTCTTTCAATAATTGGAATGTCAAATTCTCTTCTTTGGAAAGGTATGATTCACACCTCATCATGTCAGAATGCACTGTTACACAAAGCTTATTTTTTAACTATAGTTTCATTTATTAGAAGGCTTATATACACTCTATTTAATATTTTGATAATGGATATGCCTAACACAATTATCTAGCAACCATATAATAAACTGACAAATTCAAATATTTTCTACTTGATACTTTAGTTGTCACTAAAATTTGTAACATTACCCTAAAATAAAATTAATGAGAATAAAATTCATACCTTTGCAGGTGTATGTATCCAGATGGCTGGGTTGAATAAAATGTGATCACAAAGCTGCTTTAGCAAAGGTGCACCATGGGATAAACCATCAAGGTATTTTGCAAAAGATAAAAACTGCTCCAGGACAGCTCTGGTTATATGAACCCTTGATGACTAAAAAAGAAAACAGAAATTCTGCCTTGAAATATCCAGAGTATCAAATGCATAATTTCTGATTTTGCATAACATGAACATTTCGTGTCATCTCTAATAGTTTAAATATAAAATAAAATGTTATATTTATTATTAAGTTTTTAATTTCATCAATAAACCTAGAGTCTTGGCTCAGTGCCTATAGCACAGTGGTTACAGTGTCAGCCACATACACCAAGGCAGGCGGTTTCAAACCCAGCCCAGAAAGAAAAAAAAATGTAAAAAATCTTATTTTTTATTGAATATATGTTGAAATGATAATATTTTAGATATACTAAGTTAAATAAAATACATTAAAATTAATTTTACCTAAAACTTTTTATAAGAAAATTTTAAATTCCATATGAAGCTTATATTTTAATTGGACAATGCTACCCTAGAATATAATTTCAAATGAAAATGCTATAAGATGAGAGAAAAAAAGCTGATATAAAAGCTTTTTGTAATAAAAGCTGGTAATTCCAACTCAAAGTTCAAAAAATACATCTTTGTATGAAAATCTTTTCCTCTTTAGCTAGTGATCCTTCCTAGAGTATCACTATCCTTCTAATCTTGGGATAAAGAATTACCTGCCACTCACTCCTCATCCACATGTCCATTACTCTCATTCATTTCTAACTTAAGTCCAAAATATTAGTACAAGACAATGAAAGTCTAACTGGGACAAAACTGTCTTACTAATTTTCAGCTCCCATAACATATCCACATTCTTCATGCTCATATCAAGGTAACTCAAAAAATTTGATTCTACATAAGAGGTCACAAACTCAAATGATGGCAAATAGTTAATGTGTGTGGGAGACAGGGAAGAACTGTGATTACTGCTCCAGGTACTAAAAGGAAAAAAGATTCAAAACCAAACAACTCTGCTGAGTCCACATACAGTACTTCTTTTAGCCAATCTCACCCATAGGATAGCAGATTGCTTTGTCTGCTTTTCTATCACATGTCCCAACTTGTAATATCCTTGCATCCCATGTCCTCTACCACTTTTCATCTGGTCATTTAGAATATATACATATTGAATACTTACTATTTGCCAAGCATTCTTCTTGGAATGAAGAATTACTTTTACTATGAAAAGAGCAGTTAACAAAACTAGGGGGGAAAAAAACGCTGCCTCATAGAACTTACAATCTAAGGGAGGAGAAGATAGATACATACAGTTAAAAAAGGTAAAATACTAACATGTAACATGTTAGAGATTATTAAGTTCTTGAAAAAGCCCATAGAACAGATAATATTTGTAGGAGGGTGGCTAAAAGATTTTACTAAAAAAGTTGCATTTCGACCTGGCAGAGTGGTTAATGGCTGTAATCTTAGCACTCCTGGAGGCTGAGGTGAGAGGAGTGCTGAGCTCAGGAGTTAGAGACCAATCGTAGCAAGACTCCTAGCCCTTCTAGGATGGTAGTTTTATTATAATTATAAAACCAATATTTAGGAAGTATTTATCTAAAATTGGGTGATTTTACTGCCTAATCAAATCTTCCTGGTGTAAAATGAATGTTCTTGTCAATGTCATGCTACCTTTACCTCTAATAATCCTGCTTTCTTACGTTTGTTGTCATTAGTTATTCAAAAATCTTTCTTTCCTGATAGAATTCCATCTTACTCGACTTTTACCTTCCCAATCTCTATCCTAATTCTCAGTGAATCTTTAACTGAATTCATATCAAATTCAAGAATAGAATAAAAATTGATTAAACACACACACATACACACACACACACAAATAGAAACAGGGTGGCGTCTGTGGCTCAAAGGAGTAGGGCACTGGCCCCATATACCAGAGGTGGCCTGGCCAAAAACTACAAAAAAAAAAAAAAAAAAGAAAGAAAAAGAAAAAGATGACAGAAGACATCCAACTTTGTTTCTAAATATGTTTGATTGATGGCTTTAAATTTTTTTTCTGGTCTAGCATTTGCATTCATTTTCTCAAATAAAGCTTTTTTCAAAAGAGTTTTATTTGAATACTTTAGAGTCATAAACCTATAAATCTCAGGCAGAAGCATAACATGAATAAAAAATACAACTTCTGGAACTAGAACTCTGTAACAACACTTTTGTGTGGTGACAAAATACAGAATTTTTAAGAATTCCTATATGTGACTTGAATAACCATATTTGAAAATGGAGTCAGAAAAGTTAGAAAAGAAAACTATATAACAGCATCCACTCCAGAATTAACTAAACCAAACAGGAGAAACGGAGTTATATGGAGAAATTTCTATTCAGGAAAGAGAGATCTTTCCAACATTTACAGCAGCCCACACTGTAACTGGTTGCCAAAATGTTCTTTTTTAATGGCAGAACCCATTCTCTCTCTACTTAACGATGTGTCTATACCAGTTAAAGTAATTTTCCACAGTATATTTAATATCCAATCATGTGTGATAAATAAACTACAAAATTATTTTTATCTGCATAGGCACATTATCCAGTAGCTGATTCTCAATCCCATTCTGCTCCTCCCAGGGCTCCAAATTGAGTTCCAAATAGCCCCATCCAATACATTAATTATCTGTTGTTGGTTGGGAGGTAGGTGGCAGGCAATGATTAGTTTAGAGACTCAGCCTCAAAGTTTAGCATTCTCAGCAACAATGTTGGTTCAAAGGGAGGCCAAGGCCTAAGCCTCCCAGTGAAACTGGGAGGATCCTGCTCAGTAACTAGGAGAAAGTCACTCTCTGCCTCTACTAGATATGAAGCTCAATAGTGCTAAACTCCTAGTGGCTTTTCTGTGACCACAAAGGAAACCAGCTTTAGCATAAAATCATTACTGTAAGTGGCACAGCAGAAATCAGGTCAGCCTGAGTCTCTGATGACATGACTGAGACTCAGAACCCAGCCCTGTAACCCACCTTCCACAGATGTTTTGTTGGCTCTCCAGCCTTCCCCATGACATTCCCCTGCCTACTGGTTCCAACTAGGTTTGACAAGCTGGATACAACAACAGGAAATTAAAGGACAGGAAGAAAATGTAAGTCGGGACATTCATTTTCCTGGCTTTACCCCTTCAAGTCAATAAACTATATTCCTTCACTAAAGACCATACTCCAGTCAGGTGCCCTTCTCTTATACCAAGAATAACTTTTTCTTTGTGTTACATTAAACACTTCATCTCTTCAAACCTTGCTTAACTCCTTTAACAATGCTCATTGCTTTGTAAACAGCCTCACATTAAACTCTCCTCAATAACTCAGGCTAAATATGCCACATGTTCCCTGACAAGACTGACTGACAGGCCACCTATCATCACAATTTCAGTTACATTTGCTTATAGCTTCCTCAATGTTAAAGCTACTTTGAATCAAATTTTCTACTAATTACAACCTAAAGTATCCTATTAAATACACTAGATAACCTCTAAATTTTCTTCGAGCTAATATTCTGGCAAAAGAAAACAAAAACACCTTCAATTTTTTTCATGGAATAGTCTAAAGGTTATTTTAAAAAACAGTCTCATTGGACCAGCCTGAGCAAGAGTGAGACTTTGTCTCTACTAAAAATAGAAACAAAACAAAAGAAACAAACAAAAAATCCTATCTAGAAGTGGTGGTACACATTTGTGGTCCCAGCTACTCAGGAGGCTGAGGCAACAGACTGCTCAAGCCCAAGAGTTTGAGGTTGCTGTGAGCTACAATGCCACAGCGCTCTACCCAGGGCAACAAATAAACAAGCAAAAAAATTTCATTAGACCACTTTTCTTAGATAGTTTTTAGTTAAGTGAAAACTAACAGATAACTTATCATTAGTTGACAAGAAATTAAAAATTAAAACTTTATTACCTATACTATTAACCTGACCACTAATTATTTAAACATAACGAAAGGTGAACATTCATCTGAGAAAAGTGAAAAAGGAACTCTTTTTCAGGTCATCAGACAAACAGGAGGCGTTTTCATTAATTCAATTTAACAACTACTTATCGAGGTAGGCAGGCTCTCAGTGTTGAAAATATAACAATAACTCTTCATTTTTAAGGGAATGGCAAAGAGGCCTTTGTATAACCAGTGTGGCTAAAACAGAGTAAACAAGGAGAGTGGCAAGAGATGATATCAGAGGAATGAAAATTATGACTTCATTCTGAGAAGGATAGAATAGTAAGATATGCTAAATTTTAGAATAAGTCTGACTATAAGTGAAAATGGGAGCCAATGGAAAAAGATAAAGATGGTTCATACAAAGATGAAATCAAGGAACATTAGGAATAAGGAGTAGGACACAGGAAGTGGTAACTGCTAGCAATACAACATTCTGTGCCCCAGAGACAGAGTTTGAATCTACAATACAAAAAGGTAGAGTCAAAAAGGATTAACTTCTTTGTTCTGAACTACTTATTGAACGGTTTTGCCATTAACTAAGATAAATAAAAGTGAAGGATGAAAATTTGAGAGGAAAATCAAATAGTTTGGATAACTTAGATTCCATAAAGATTACTAGACAGCCAAAGGGAACTAAAAATGGGAAATATTTCACTTGAGAGTGATTAGTATTTATAGGATAGGAAAATAAATAAAGCTCAATTAGAGTAATATACTGTCTAGACAGAAAAGTGGACAGCTTTCCAGGATTAAGCAGGAGACAGAACAATCATTAGAATTTAGAAAACTGAAGAAAAACTGGGAGAAGAAAATAGGAAAAGGAAGCCAAGAAAGTTGGAAAAACACAGAGAAAGATGCTATGATAAAACACAACTGGAAAATAGCATTTCACGAAGGAAAGAATGTTCAACCACAATTAGCTCTAGTAAGATTTAGACTGAGGAATAACCATAGGATACAATAAAAAGGCCACTGATGATAATGACATGAGATGTCTAACAGGAGGGTGAGGATGAACATCAGATTAGGAGTTCATATAAAAGTAGGAGTCCAACAATGTAAGGAAGGTTTAACATCTGAAAATCAATTAATGCAATTCACTAAATTGAAAGAAATTACGGAAACAGCTTAATCATCTCA